TATTGCCGATCGCAAACACACACACACACACACACACACAGGAACATTCATCCATATATGAAATATAATAAAATTGTACAGGAAATGACGAACAAGTGTAGAGAGAAGTCCTCATTTCCCCTTCAATACGCCCCCCTATCCTATTCCCCCTTCGAACCCACGAATGGTTTGATTATTAAATCCATGAAGTTTTTATATGGCCCGGACACACACACACACACACACACACACACACACATGGCACACATACATATCGAAATTCACTTGATTGCAGTTTTCAAGTGAAATCGTAGCACACTTCACAACGCTTGTTGGCTTGCCTAAGGGTTAAACGGGTGCAGTGGGGGGAGGGATAGGTTATGTTGCACGGAAATATGCCGCTTGTTGATGCCGCTTACTGCTGCTGCTGCTGCTGCTGTTGCTGCTGTTGCAGCCTGCATGTTGTAATTGATGTTTCAAGTAGCACACAAAATGCGCGCGCCAAAAACTTCGCCAGGCACCAAGTTTGTTTTATTTGCTGTTGCACGAATTTTAATGAAGCAAGCAAGTTTTGCGACTAAATCAAATTAAAAGTGCGACACACACACACACACACACACTCGCACACACATGTCTGTGTGTGTGTGTGTGTGTGTGTGTGTGTTAGGAAATGAGCTCGCTCAAAACTAATGCAAGTTTTTGCCAGCATCCGTCTTCTTGGGCTTTTCGGGCTTTTTGTCAATTGCTTTCACTTAATCTCAAACATTCAATAATGTTTTTCACGCTAATTAATTTCTGGTCGCACACACATCTATATTTATATATATGTGTGACACTTGAATAATTTCCTGCCTGCGGCATCCTTGAATTTACTGTTCACTTCTTTAATTGAGCATGAAAATCAGAAATGCCACATTCCTCACTTAAAGCTACAAAATGGCAAATTCTTGGCTGATTTAAGGTAATCTTATCAGATTTTACGTGCCATTGGCATATATATTGAATCTACTGTACGAAATGATAACTATTTTAGCCACCAAAACATTTGTATACCTTAATAAACATAGACGAACAACGAACTCTACAAAAATTATAGCACACAGAGCTTAAGAGATGTCTTCTATCCTAGTTCGCAAGGATATGCTGCTGTTATGGCCCACATCTACCGTCTCAATAATGAAAACCATCAGGTTGCAAGTATTTTTTTAGAAAGTCTATAATAATCGTTTCCTTATTTGATGTTTGGGGTTCTATTGATTCATCTTTTATTGATTGACAGATTGTCATTTTGTTGTTGCAAAGGCAGCAGCATTTCATCTATCATTTTCAATATTATTCTTCACAAATATACCGCATCTCTCCGATATGCAGCTGGCTACGTTCATGCAAGTCTCCGAATTGAGTACGTTTAATCAATGTCAGTGTTGCAAAGTAACGCGAGGAAAAGCAGTGCAGGGATTGCCAAACTTATCTCAAGTGGCATGCTTCTCCTAACCTAACCTAACCTAAGCTATTTTGGCACTATTTCTTGTTCCCAGTTACAACTCTTTTATCTCACTGATCATTTGCCAGTTAATAATATGTTATATGCATATATATTTTATGAAGCAAACAATTGCAATCATTATAAAATCCATTGCTGCATTTGTTATTCATCATTTGATGATCTTGTGAGACTGTCAAATTGGGTTGCCCTCGCCGCATTTTGACATTTCCTGCTGTGAATTTGTTTAAATTGCATTTGTGGGTGCTTCAGGCTGAACGAATCACCAGATTTGATTCGGGACAGGGCAGGGCAGACAGCAGCCAGCAGCCAGCCAGGAACCAACCCGCAAAAGTGGCGCACACCCCGCGGCTATAAAAAAAAAACCCAAAACACACACAAGTGCCACAAAAGTGGAAGTCATGAAGAGTTGAGGGATGAGCCCAGTTTGGTTTGGTTTGCTTTGGATTGGATTGCTTTGGTTTGCTTTGCTTTAGATGAGGAGGCAATTTTTACGCCCAATTTGTCGTGCGCTTAACGCCTCAACGATTATACAATGTGTGGGTGGCAAGGGGGCACGTCTCAAAGGTTTCAATAGCGTTGAGTGCAACGCCTTTTTCCTGGCTCCCTGACACTTTTTGGAGGGCGTTTTCTTTATTTATATATATACCCATATTTATATATACAGATATATAGGCAAGCGCATATTTTTTGTCGGTCCAGACAAGATGGCGGAAACGCAGCGAAATTTTGGATAATTAAATTTGTCGCTTAAAGCAGAGGGAAAATGGACAAGTTGTTGTTGCTGTTTCTGGTTGTTGTTGTTGTTCTTGTTGTTGTTGAGTCTAAATGCCAGTGAGCGACTATTGAGACTAATCACGCTAATGCGCAAGTTTGTGTGTCGCAAAGACAGACGACAGATGGCGCCACATGTGTGTCTGTGTGTGTGAGTGGATGTTTATTGTGTGTGCGTGTGTGTGTGTGTGCCTGGTTATCCACCTGCCTTCAATAATACGTACGCCAAATGCCAAATAATTTATTTATTATATGTGCAACTGACCAAAAGCAGCACACACACACACACACACACACACACACACACACACGCACTGTACGAGATTTCATTACAACTCATTTGACAGTCTTGGTGCATTCGACGCTGCCAAAATGTCATAGCTGAGTGGCAGTCATGAAACCTGCCCCAAAACCCAACCCCGAAAATCCCACCCCCAACCACTGAGCCCCTTTGGCAGATTAGCGCGCGGCTCTGTGTGTGTGTGTGTGCGTGCGTGCGTGAGTGTGTGTGTTTGTGTGAGTGCTGGAGCTAAACGCGAAATTAAGCGAAATGAAGTTGACCACGTTTCGATTTTGCATCAAAGCTAAATGCAGCAGTTGCAGTTGCAGTTGCAATCGCTGCTTACCTCAATCACCTGCCACCCGGCCAACACCACTCCCCCAGCCCCCAGCCCCATGCCCCAACCAGTTGCAGTTCAGTGGCCAGTGGATGTTGCAGCTACTGCTGGCTGCCGATTCCTGGCTGGCCCCATGCATTGTTAATACAATTGGAGTCCAACGTCAATAACCAAGTGCCACGAATGGACCATTAGTTGGCTGCGTAGTTTGATGTGGCATGTTGCAAGCATTGCCCAGCTGCTGTTGTTGCTCCTGATGTTGTTGTTGTTGTTGCTGCTGCCTCGCTTTGATGGCCGCAACCGTTTCTTCGCTTAGTTGCACAGAAATACATTATATTATATACATAAATACATATGTGGAGCCACCATATGCATTTATGTATTCCTTATATATATATATATATATATATCTATATCTAGTAGATAAGCAATAGATTGACAAATGAAACGAAAGAAGAAAAGTTGCGGAGCATATAAAGTTGATCATTTTTAGTATTGGAATTCTGTGGCTAGAATCTTTAGACGAGTTTGGACTCCGAATCAAGTATTCAAACTTAAGTATAGCATTAATCTATGGGTCTATCCATGACTAAAATGAGTTTCCTTTTTAAAATCGGATTAGTTTTGACACTTTTATGGTCAAGAGAAGCTTTGAACCATGTTCATATGTTTTTTTTTTTTGGTTAGGAGTTTTACAGGAGTTTCAACTCAGAAACACATTTTCAATATTAAATTTAGAATTAATTAAGGAGTCTAAAAAAACTCAAAAAACCTCTGCTTTTGAAAATCGGCTGAGTTTTGATAAAGTTATGGCTAAGGCAAGTTAAGAAATACCTTTAAGCCTTTTCCCACTCCCAAAGTTGAACATTTTAGCTCACTTAGTCATTATCCCCACTTGCAGATAAAGTAATTTGGTCAAAGAGGCGACTTAAAAAAGGCTTTATATTGTATATAATTTGTTGATAGTAAGAGCGCATTTTTGTAACTATTTTGAGGAACTTGCATGTCTGGCGCCCATAAAAATATGCAATGCATTTCGGGCAGCAGCATAATGTTGTTATTATTGCCACACATGGGGCAGCAAAACTGAGAAGCGGAGAATGACGAGAATAACGAGAGCCGCAAGAACAAGGAGAACTTAACTGCTACTCAGCCACGCAGTCACATGGCAAACTTACAAGTAATACTTAGCCTAAATGGGCACAAGTGGCCTCCAAGAGTGGCCCTTCGACCACTTGATATGTTTTATGATGCGAAATTTTTGTAATGAAGTTATTGACAACGAGCCAGAGCCGCCCAAGAGCCAGCCCGCCCCACCCCTCCTCCCATTCTAGGTTCTAGTGTCTAGAGCAGAAGCAGAAGCAGCAGAAGCAGACACGTTTAAGGATACAGATACATATGTGGAACAATATGCAAATGTTACTTTGTTATGCAATTAGTGAATTCAATAGTATGAGTACACACACACACACACACACACTTGACAAAGGGGCACTTGGCAAACACACAGACAGACAGACAGGCAGAGGAGAGCAACGGTAACCGTAACGGTAACAGTAACGACAACGACAACGGCAACGTTATAGTCAACGATGGCAACTACTCGAACAGAGCTGAACACTCACTGCAGTTAAATGTATCGTTAGCATTAGAATCGAAGCCATTATATGCTTACAAACTAGTTACAAACTAAATGCTAACTGAAAACTATGCGACTCTAAAATGCCCTGTTTATAAAGTTGAAATTTACTCAATTTCAAAAGAGAGAGCTTAGTCTTATAGCAGTAAGCAATTGAAACAATGCAATATATAACATAAACGATTGCAGCTTGCGATTGCCTGTGTATGTTATGTAAGGATCGATAACGCATATTATGAACATTAGCCTAACATAATGTATAATATCAATTATATTTCTGGCTAAATTTATAGTATCCTTTGAAGCCCATATTCCCCGTCGACTCTATCATGCTCAAATTAAACAATTTCATGAAAATAGGTCGATCTTTCGAGTCAATGCAGGCAGCAAATTGCGCACCAACTAAACCCAGTTATACAATCAATTCAATAACCACTTCTCTTTCTCTCTCTCTCTCGCTCCTTCCTCTTCTTCTTGGTGTGACCAGGCAAAAATGATGGAGAACTCGCACGCTTGGATGGGTGCCACTGGCTCCTCGCTAGCAGGTTTGTATTACTACTGTTAAGAAAAAAGAACCAGCTAACAGCTGATGATGGGCAGCATTTAACCTTTAGATATACCGCTGTTGTTATCTTCTCTTCTCTTCGCACTTCCAGCAGACAGCTATCAGTATCAACTGCAGTCGATGTGGCAAAAATGCTGGAACACCAATCAGAATCTAATGCATCATATGCGATTTCGCGAACGAGGCCCACTGAAATCCTGGCGTCCCGAAACAATGGCCGAGGCCATCTTCAGTGTGCTGAAGGAGGGGCTGTCGCTGTCGCAGGCAGCCCGCAAATACGATATTCCATATCCGACATTTGTACTCTATGCGAATCGGGTGCACAACATGCTGGGACCCTCCATCGATGGCGGACCCGATTTGCGACCGAAGGGCCGTGGCAGGCCGCAGCGCATTCTGCTGGGAATTTGGCCAGATGAGCATATTAAGGGTGTCATCAAGACGGTCGTTTTTCGCGATAACAAGGACATGAAGGACGATAGCTTGGGTGCCCATCTGCCGCCGTACGGTCGGCATTCGGTAGGTAGCGCTGTTGCAACTGCCGCATACAGCAACAAAAAAAAACTATTCAAATTAAACTATGCAATTTATTCAATTAATGTTTGACAGAGCAGCCACGTTAGGTTTGGTCAATTAAATAATGATTAACAGGTGATTTTCGATCGATGAGGCATCGATTAGTCTATTAAGGTTAACAGTTGAGCAGTCTTTGAGCTGCAAGTCAGGCTTTACATTTATGTTAAATAATTAAGTATCTGTTCGATTAAAGTTTAACAGAGCAGGCATTTTAGGTTTGGCCAATTAGATATCGATTAATAGCTCACATTCATTATTGATTGAATATCGACCACTCTACTTAAGTTTCACAGAGCAGGCATTTGATGTATTACCAATTAGATATCGGTTAGCAGTTGAGCATATAATTGAATATCGATTAAAGTTTAACAGAACCCAAAGCTTTTGCACTGCAGCCAACTTAACAGAAGCATCGATAACTGTCAGTTCGATAAGTGCGTTATTTTGAATTTTTGATTGAGAAAAACAAATCGCATACACTAAACTTTCGACCGGGTTAGCCCGTGTTTTCCTTGCAGGACATGCCGCTGAGCTATCCAGGCGCCGGTGGTGGTATGCCCGGCAGCGGCGCCGCCAGCCTGAGCGCACTGGCCTGCCCCAATGGCATGGGCGGCGCGGCAGGAGGCGGGGCATCGGGCGGTGGCGTCGGCGGCGCTGGCGGCATTGGCGGACCTGTTGTTGGAGCCGAGCAGCAAATGTCGCAGGAGCAAATGTCGGCAGTGGCCGCCGTCGCGCACAATATACGCCAGCAGATGCAAATGGCAGCGGCAGCGCAGCATCAGCACGGGGAGGCGGGGCCGCCGCCGCATCCGCCACCGCCGCCCGGCCTATTCCAATTACCGCCACACTTGGCGGGTGGTCCGGGCGGTGGCAGGGCGAGCATATCGCCGGCGCTGAGCAGTGGGTCCAATCCATCGCTGGTGGGCCCGCCAAGGCATGCGGCGTCACCGTGCGGTCCCGCCGGCCTCATGCCGAATCTGCCGCCCAGCATGGCCGTTGCACTGCATCGTGATCAGAGCACCGCTGCTGCCGCCGCCGCCGCTGCCGCACTGCTCAGCCAGCAGCAGCAGCATCACTTGCAACAGCTGCAGCAGCAGCATGCAATGCACCAACAGCAACAGCAGCAGCAACAGCAACAACAGCAGCAACAGGTGCATCCTCATCATCTGCAACAGCACAAATCCGGTTTCGGTGCCAGTTCCATGCCACAACAGCAACAACAGCAGCAACAACAGCAACAACAGCAACAACAGCAGCAGCAGCAGCAACTCCATCAGCAGCAGCAACAGCATCTTGGCCTGCTCCATGCGGACAAGTCCAAGGCGAAGACTAGTCCACTTCGCAGCGAGACGCCCAGTTTGCATTCCCCGCTAACGGATTTGGGTCTGGAGCTGGGCTACAAACGGGATTATTCGCCCAGCCGTCTGTTTGCCGAGGATCTGGCTGAGCTGGTGGGCGTTGGCAGCAACGTGGGCATCTCCTCCTCCACATCGGCATCCTCAACAGCCACAACAACAGCAGCAGCAGTACCAGCGATGCCAGCAACTGCAGCTGGAGTAGGAGGTGTCGGTGGAGTCGTCTCTACTGAGATCTGCTCCAGCAGCAGTGGCAGTGGCATCAAAGTGGAGCCCATCACAACCAGCAGCGAGTAGAGATTCCCAGCTCCACAACAACTAAACAATCAAAAAAAACGCAAAACAAATTGTTTATTTAATTTTTTAATTGTAAACAATTTAGAATTGAGAAGCGCAGTAAAAAAAAAACAAAAACATTTTTGAAAAAGATTGTACTTTATACTATATAGTATCTAAAAGAGATATTGTATATAAGGTCGAACCTCTCTAAATCGGAACACAATTCGATAACTAAAACTATCTATTCTGTCACAAGTCGAATTCAGATTGCTTGATTTTGAGTACTTTTCAAAATTATATTTACCACAGTTTGAAGATGTTTGGTTTGTTACTAATTTCAATGTGTATATAGTCTATACTTGTACGGTTTCGATTTAGAGAAGTTCGAGATTATATACCGTATAAATATATATCTCAAAAGCGCGTTCCATTTTCATTTTGTCGGTCGGTCGTTCAACTTAAGTCCACTTGATGTTTTGCATAGTTTTTAAATTTAAATTTAATCAAAGTACGTATTACAAGAAATCGAAAATCAAAACAAGTATTATTATGTTATAGCGCCTAAGCTTAATCAATTAAATAGCGATCTCTTTAATTTTAAACAGTTCAACTCTAAATCCCAAAAAAAAAAGCAAAACAAAAAAAATAAAAATAAAACCCTTGGAACATTCCACAAACAACAACAACAACAAAAGTCCCACAACAGTTTCAACTAAAAATAAAACTAATACATAATATTAAACAAAGAATACAATTATTAATACATTAGCAATTGTGTGCCCAGTTTTATTTAGTTTATAAAAATGAGTGTACAAAATTACTAAATTAAAATTAAATACAAAAAAACTAACAACTTTTGGATGTGCATTAAAAACAACAAAAAAAACCAAAACCAAAAACAAAAACGAAAGCTGAAATATGGAAGCAACTAAATTTAATGTTTAGGTCTAAAAAACAAAACGAAAAACCAAAAATTAAAAATTCACAAAAAATGCCTTTCGGAATTAAATTCAGTGACAAACACAAAATTAAAAATTGTTAGATTAAAAGAAAAAAAACGAAACGAAAAACAAAATTTGTAAATTAAATGTGAATTTTTAAGACAGAACTTATACAAACCAAAATTTTTTAGAAAATTGTGAAAATTTAGCAGCTAAATTTACTTATGACGAAAGTTGTTGTTCTTTATTCAAAAAAAAGGCGGCTGCTGATTTTAAAAACATTTCCAGTATTTGAACGTAATTTTTAAAAGTTTTTGTACTTTATTTGAAAGATTAAATATTAATTGAGTATATCTTCTTCTTTTTTGTCTACTCTTCTAAAGTGCCTTTTCTAGCATTAATTTTATATTAAGAAACGTAATTAATTTGTATATTTTCTTTTCATTTTGTCAGCGCCCAGGAGAAGAAAATGAACAGCAACTTTCGTTGAATTATTTAGAAAAGTCTGGCAAATATATATACATATATATTTTTAATAATTATATAAGTATTTGTTTCGGTTGAAAAAACTTTAGGCGTACTTTCGGCAAAATGTTTTTTATATGTTTTTAACAAGATAAAAAAGAAAACTCATTTAAAAAGCACACAATAAATAAACGAAACGCATAAAAAACAAACGAAAAGAAAATTTAAAATTTAAAAGTGAAAGTGAAAGTGAAAAGTTAGAAAATCCTTTTACCATATTTGTAGCAACAAACTGGCAACTAAAAATCAAATCTTTAAATAAAGTAAGCATTAATTTATACAGTTTATACAACTGCAGCAATAGCCATAGCCACAAATATATATATATATATATATATATATATATAGACAGACATTTATGTATGTGTATGTAACTTTCATATGATAAACATAAACTAAAACACTTCCACGCCCCTCCCTCAAATAGACTCCAATGTTCCACTTACCACTTTGGTATATTACGATTAAAACTAACTTGATTCACACAACGTTGTATTGCAAATAAGTTAAAAACAAAAAAAAAAAACATAAAAACAAAAAAATCGCATCCGAAAATCTCCCGGAACGTTATTTTTTCTCGTTTTCTATCAACTTTAGTGCAAACTTTATGTTCAAATTAACTTTAAATGTCGAAATGAATGTTCTTATTAATCGTATAACAGAAAACAAACAAAAAATGGCAAAAAAAAAGAAACAAAAAAAATATTTTATAAAAACAATTGAAAAGTAACCGAAAAACAAAAGCGTCTGAAAATTCATTTGTCAAGAGGGAAACGGAACTGGAACTGGAACTACAGCAATATAAACCGGATCGGAAACAGTTACAGGAACCGATATTATTAATACAAATGGAATGAATAGTCAACAATCGATGGAAAAAATGTTTTTTTTTTAAATTTTTAACAGATTCTAATCAGTTTTCTTCTATTATAAAAAAAAGCCACTCTTTGTACTGACAGCGGATCCATTTTTTTATTGCTTTGATTTGATACACGTTTCGATTTGGGAACAGGAGGAAGAGGAGGAAAACTGCTATTGAATTGTCAGTCCAAGACCTGGTGGCGTTAAGTCCGTCTGGGGCTGATTAATCTCCTGATGGCGCTGCAGGAGGCTGAGGCATTGATGCAGACACTGCGTGCTCGCCGTCGAGATGGCTTTGAGCAGCAGCAGATCGGGATCCGTGGGCGAGAAGGCAGCACAATCAATATTCTCAATGGCACGAGCCAACGAGGCATTGCTGAAAGCATAACAAAAGCATTACTCAAAGTAGCTATAAGAATATGCGTGAAGGATTTCTCCAACTAACCACTGCTCGGTGAGAAACAAGGCCTGACGAGCGGAGACCATCGCATCAGAGGCAGCGAGCAATTCACGTGCCGGCAGCGGTGAGGAGTTGCTAATGTCCATTGCCTTGGTGTGACTCTCGACAACAGCACGGAGTCCATCGACCCACTCCTGACGAGCACGCGCATCATTTGCCCTCAGTTTAACCGTGTCGCCCGAGGCGCAGGCAATGGAAAATGTGCGCGAATCCTCATCACTGGGATAGACAACAGCTCCAGCCAGTTGCACCTGCCCACGTGGCGCACTCGCCAGCACATGCGGAGAGGGTGCAATGTCATCGCCCACCGAGGAAGAGTCGCACAAATAATAGCTCAGATATCCTGATTTGGCGTCCACCGTAAACCAGCGATATTGCCAGCCTAAAAAATACATAAATAGTTAGTTGTGTGTAAAAAGAGAATATATTTAAGTTAAAAATGAGTTTTCTTTTACACATTATCTAAATAAATTTGAATTTGAATTTTTCGATAAATCTGCAGCGTTCCCTGTTATCGATAGACATATTTAACAGCCATTAGTAAGGAGGTAAAAGTAACAGAAACGCTGACCAAAATAAGCAGCTGTTAACTTATAAAAATATTAACATAACATGATGTGCCATTATGGCAATGGGTATATTTATAGTCGCGCACTGTAAACTTTGTTTTCACTGCGCACCCGCAAGTAGCTGTGTGCTTATCGTGAGGTAAAATGTTAACAGAACATGCCACAATAAGATAGTTTGTATCTGCACGTAGGGTATATTTATAGCGCGCACTGTAAAGTTTATTATTCATTACGCAGCTATCAGCTGTGTGCGCTTATTAGTGAGTAAAAATGTTAGCATATGGCAAGGCAAGGCAATTCATAGCTGAATACAGGACATATTTATAGTCGCGCACTATTCATTTTGTTATTCACTTCACGCACCTTTCATCACATTTGTGTATTTGCTGAGTTGTCCGCTGAGCGGATGCCGCAGCGTCTGATTGATCATGCGATTCAGATGGCTTTCCATGGCGACAATACAGCTTCCTCTGCTTTTGCTGCTGATTCTACTGCTTCGGCTCCGATTTCTGCTTGTGGCTAGAAATTCCTTTTCGCAGGCGACGTCAGCGTCGTCGTCGTCTTGGTGACAACAGCTGTGTGGCTGCTGCTTGTGTCGGGGCTTCTTGCGTTGGAATGCGGCTTTGATTTTGCGCAGAATTTTTGCAATTGTTATTGTGATTGGGGAAAACAGAAACAAAAGAAATATAAACACTTATTGCAATATATTTTACAATTTGAGCGTTGCCAGTTCGTTTGAAACAGCTGAGCGAGCATTTGCTTTGTTTACATCACAATTTTATCAAGCTGGCAGCCGTAAATACCGAAAACAGCATTTTATGTCGTTTCGTTGCTAGTTAGAGTTGGTCACACCGTTTTCCAGTTAACATTACCATTTTGAGTTTAACATGACAAGTCAAGCACATTAACATTGCAATAACAAAGCGAGTGAGGCGCATAAATTTCGCAAAATTTGCGTGCTCCGCGATATTGTTTAAACAAACACACAGTGTAAACAAAAAAGATGAAATAAAAATTCTAATAATATGTGTGTCGCACAACAGCAAGTGAAATGCAAACGCGTTCTGGTAATAACAAAAAATGGCCAAACGAACGCTGGCCGAAAAGAGTGAAAAAAATCAATTTGTATCCAGAGAATAAGAAGAAGGTGGAAACAGGCAAAGAGGCAGAGGAAGAAGCACACGCAGAACTCTTCTTCGCTGCTAACGAAATAAAACAAAACTGTTAAAAGATGATGTGTTGATGTTGATGGACTTTTCTCTCGTTCGCTTCAACACAATAATAAAAATAAAAATAAATACATATTGCAAATGGCAATTAAAAACGAGACGAATGAGAACAAAAAGTCAACCCACCGCATTCAAATTATTAAACATAAAAAAGCATTTGTTTGTCTCTCTTATTTCCCCCCCGAGTTTAAAAATAAGAATAACAGCATATGTGTGTGTGTGTATTCGTCTATGTGTGTGTGTTTGTATTTCCGCGTTTATGTTTTATGCGGCGATTGCGTGACTTGATTTATGACATTTAACATTTACCCGCTCCTGTCACATGTGCATCTGTATGTGTGTGTCTCCCTATCTGTCTGTGTGTGTGTGCTGGCTTGAGGGTTGCATATGGTGAAAATGTTGTCGAAAATGTAATTAAAATATATGATGCATGCTAAGTGTGACCGTTGTTGTTTTTTTTTTAGTTTTTCATATCCACTTTGCTAATTTGTTTTGTGCCGTTTCTTTCATTCTCTAAACAAACCACATACACATACAACGCACACACACACATGCAGCGCTGCTTTGACCATGAAAAATGCCAGCGAGAAATTGGCGAAAATCAATGAAAGCCTTCAAAGCAACAACAATAAGAAATATATTTTGAAATTAAGTGAAATCCGAAGGCGATTCCGTTATGCTGCGCTGCCTTCGCAATAACATTGTTAAAACCGTTTAAAACTCTGCTTTAAACCACAACAAACAAACCACAACAACAGGAGCATTTCCCTCCACTCCCCCGCCCCCTTCACACCCACAAAAACAACATAAAATGGATGGTCAACGTGCTCGGGATTTGATGACGCTGCTGCAGGAGCGCGTTGTGTTCTTGACGGGCGGACGCGATAGGCGTGGCGGACCGTTATTATGCTTTCCGGCAACGCCACGCAGAGATCGCCTCAAACCGGAGGATTTGCGTCGCCTGCTAAGCTATCTGATTAGCATACCAAGGTGAGTTCTCAAATGTTAATCGATAAAGTAGATCTGAAATCGATTCTGTTCTTTCAATAACAAGGTTTATTTATTGTGCCTGCAATTAATTCTACAAATCAAATCAAGTCGATTCTGTAAATCTGTAATCGATTGTGAAATCTGCAGTCGATTCTATAAGCCTGCAATCGATTCTATAAGCCTGCAATCGATTCTGTAAATTGCCATCGATTCTACATGGATTCTGTTTGCTCTTTTATTTTACTTATTTGCTAAGAAGTAGTAGCCTTAACAGAGAATGTTTATTGCGCCTGCTCTCTCTCTCTCTCTCGCTCGCACGCAAGCAAGCAGCCGGCTTGTACAATGTATAGCCATTGTGTCAGCTGACGTCGACGTTGGCGTCGCAGTCGCCGCGCTCCATTTGCGGTTTTTTTTAAACTTTGTTTTGTCGCCTCACCCGCGCATTGAGCTGCAACTGCAGCTGCAGCAGCTGCTGATGTTGCCACTGCATGCACACATTCCACTTGATTTTCCAGTTCTCGCATGTTTTATGAATCATCAGCAGCAGCCAGCAAAGCGTCGACAATGGCGACGAAGCAACAACAACTCGCATATTGTTGCAGCAAATGCTGACATTGAATAAGAAAGGAATGAAGAGAGCTGGAAAGGGAGAGAGTGCGAAGGAGTAAAAAAGAGGCAAACGTAGTGTTTCTCGCTTGCTCGTAGCCGAATCAGAAGCCAAAGCAACAACAACAAATTGCATAAAAATCAGTGCGACAAAGAAAGCACGATTAAGAAAATACATAACAAAAAGCAAAGCGCGCATTAAAAAATAACCGGCAGCTTGGAGCTCGTTTGCCAAAAGAATGCGGCGAGTCGAAAGCTCTGCTAAAAAAAAAACATTTTTGGTTTTTTATTTTAAATGCGGTTAAAGTGCCAAAACGAAGAAAAAGGGAATCAAAGCAAACATGCAAAAAAAAAAACATCAAATGAAAGGTGGAATGCGATTCATCGAAGAGTGTTGTTGTCATTTGAATAAAGCTTAAATTTGATTAGAATATTAGCCAAAATCAGCTAATTATTTAGAGCAGCCAAAAATAAATAATAAATTCTATTGAATACAACATTTAAACAATGGCCTTTCATTCACTTTAAGAATGCGACTATAAAATCATTTAAAATTCCGCGTAAACGTCGCTATTATTATGTCAGCATTGCGGGAATAAGCCACAGTGAGCGCTCGATTAAGCAACCTAGCTAAAATTATAAAAGGCAAATTAGATATTTGAAATTAAGTTTGTTTTTTTTGGAATACTGCTTTTGATTTTTTTAAGAGAATTAAATTTAATTGATTATTTTTCACTTAGTCAACGGTCTGACAAGTTTCACTGTTCCTTAAAATTGCGACACTCTGTTATTAACAGCGTCTGCTCTAAAAACAGATAGCTGACACACACTCGTCTTCTTCTTTCCCTTCCTCTACTTCTGCTTCTTCTGCATGTTTATGGTTATTCATTGGGGAAAACTTTTACCCATGGCATATGTATAAGAATATTCATAAGCAAGTCCAATCACGAAACGAAACAGAACCCAAAAAGCAAATGACGCTAATGTGCAGCAGTGGCGAGCAAAGTGAATCACAGTTGTTCTTGTTGTTGTGCTTCTTCTTTTTTCCCATGCTTGTCGCGCGTTGTCGTCTTATCAGCAGCACCTATCGTGGATATGGTGGGGGGAAGGGGGAAGAGAGACGGCATGGGGTGTCTCGTTTTGCCCCCTATTAGCAGAGTCTGTTATCTCAATGACCCATATACAAGTAAGGTATTTTTACAGTTGACGCCTCAAGTTTGACTGATAAGCATAACATAGATGATTACTGGGGGATGGGGGGACTACTGACGACATTTGTGTCTTATCTCTCCTCCCCCGCCCCCGGGCTGGCAGTGTGCCCAGTGTGCGTTTTTATCGCTGCTTCTGCTTTTTTTTTTTTGGGTCTTCCTGCTTTGTTTTGTTTTTGTTTTTGTTTTCTTTTCGTTTTTTGTTTTTTTTTTTTTAACTGCGAAACAATTTTTGTTTATTTGTCTGCGCCTTTTGTCTTTGTTTTCGGTATGGGCAGCGCTGAGCTGCACATTAATGCAAATTTTGTTGTTGTATTTTTAACAACAGCGGGAATATTTTCATCAAAGATTGTTGGCACGTTCGAGGCCAAAACTTCCCTTTTGGCGCTGACTTTTTCTTGCATCAAATTTTGCTTCATCAGTTGCCTTGTTTCAATTTCCAACTGAGATTTATGGGTTAAATAAACGATATTTGATTAGTTTGCATTTGGATTTTTGTTTGTCTTCTTGTTGACTATTGGTTTTTCCTGCGGGCGGCATTTGATTCGCGGCGTGTTCCGTTTTATTTTTCTTTTTTGTATACCCTGAACTCATTAAAAATGCGTAAAGAGGGTATGATGGAGTTGTACGTGAGTATGTAACAAGCAGAAGAAAGCATATATGCCTCAAAACATATATATTCTTGATTAGCTGAATGATTGAACCTCGTCAGTCTGTATGAATAAGTCCAGCTTGGAGACTATAAGAGCTGCAGAATTTAAATATACTATCTTATACCCGGTCTATCTTATTTGACAATTAAATTACCGATAGAAATACAAGTCAGAATTGTCGAGGTATAGTATTCCAATTGATATATTAAATAAATATAACATTGAGTAATTAACATTCTGGCGGTTCTATTTAAATATGAGCTATGCTTGTCAGTAATGATTGCTATTTTTATAGCGTTGCTATATTATTTAATAGCAAGTCTACTACAGCGGTGTACAGGGCATCTCCAAGTCGAGCTCCGTCTCTCTCGACTAGTTCATTCTGACTTTTTTTTATTCTTCTGTCGGAGCACAACACGAAAGTTTATGGCGTCACTTTCTTGGGACTCGAATCGTTGCCCGGATTCCAGCTGTTGATAAACAACAAATCGTTGTGTATAAAATTCTTGAGACATTTGGCGGCTGCTCCCCAATAAACCATGCACTTATTACTTATTAGTCATTCAAGGAACACACACAACGTATTTGTGAAATGCAAACGTTAAGTGTATATATATACATTTTAGGGAACGGCTGTATTCAAGCTATTTCCGATAAGTTCGCAGCTTCAAGCTTTGCCAATATAAAAGATAAGCAGTTTGGATTAGTTACTTTTTATACTTTAGATCGATATACATTTGAAATAATATATCACATGCTATACACCTATTTTAGAGCAGTGTAGATCGGTTCTGACTTCGGTTTTCTAAGCGTCGCTCTTTCATCATAGGGTTAAACCCCTAGAAATGCTCTGCAAACCGCACAAGAATCCCAAATGAACCCAAGAGCAATAAGGCCAAAAGATAGCGGCTAAAACGAATACGAATATAAAGAAGCCAGAACAGAGAGAAAGAGAGGAGCTAGAGAGACAGAGAAGGGTGTAGTGAGTGAGTGATTTCAATGAAAATAAATAAAATACAAATATTTATAGTTAATGTTGTGATTAAAATTCAAATAGAATGCAAATCAGAGCGCACGACACGAAGGGGTCTACAAAGATATGGGTGAGGGGTAAGGGTGGAGGAAGGGGGGAGACATTGCTTCGGAAATTATTAGCTGAAATTGGTGTCAAAGCATTAGAAAATGTTTGCTCGCTTCTTTTGTTGTTGCCCAGAGTGAAAAGTCGTAATTTATGCAAAAGACGTAAACAGAGCAACGAACCAAAAGCAGAATCTAAACCAAAATCGAACAAAGAAAGAACAGTTAACAGCTGGCGGTTAAACGACTTTTAAATACACTGTTTTTACTACAATTGAACTTATGAAATCTTTGACAGTTCTTCAATAATATATCCTATGTGTATGGTATAGGAATAGGCCGAATTTGGCATCACTAGCTCTTACAGTCTCCGAAATCGGTTTTCAATAGAGACGGATAGATAGACATGGCTATATTGAGTCTGATTCAGAATATGTATACTTTACTGGGTCGCAGATGCTTTCTTTTTTGGAAATACTTTATTAGACCTCTTTCCAAACTTTTAATTATTATTATTATTAATCAGAATTAATCTCTAATCGAAGCATTCGTTAAAATCATAATACTCTTCTAACTCCATAGAGCATGCAAATATAGCAACAACACTCTCACTCACGTACTCGTGCACTCTCTCTCTCTCTGTCTCTCTTTCTCCCCCTATCTCTCTTTCGCTCTTTTCACCGCTGTATAATTTGAAAAACGTATTATCTTTTTTTTAAATGGCCAATCCACCTTTCACTTGCAGCGATGCGGCCAAGAATCTCGGCTTCACCGTCATTATCGATATGCGCGGCAATGGGAACTGCTCGACGAACGTGAAGACGATATTGAAGGTGCTGCAGGAACACTTTAGCGCCAACATTCACAACGTGGTCATCATCAAGCCGGACAATTTCTGGCAGAAGCAACGGGCCTCGATCAGCTCGAATAAATACAAATTTGAGACGCAAACCATTTCCATTGAGGCGCTCAACAAGATAGCTGAATCGCATCAGTTGACGGGCGATTTTGATGGGCAGCAGCTGTACGATCATCAGCAGTGGACGGACGCACGGGTTGCGATTGAGGATTTCTTTTGGCAGGCCGGCGATATGGCGGATCGCATCGATGACCTCCAGGAGGATCTCAATCGCAACGATTTCGCCGAGGATGTCAGTCTGGCGCGCCACGCCATCGATCATCACAACGAGATGCGCAAGAAGATCACCAAGCTGCCCATCGAGGATCTCGATATGCAGGCCAACAAACTCCTAACCAAGATCAATGTAGCAAGTGGCACGGCAAATGCCACAGGCCAAGCGGGACAGGTAAATTGAAGCATGATCGATAGACATTTATACTCGATTTGATTTGATTCCGAGTGTAGAGCTGGTATTTTGAGTGATAAACATTTACTAACTAATCTTTTATGCTTGCAGTGCGCTGGAGGCAACTCAGGTACAACAGATTGCGCCGATTCGGGCACCTCATCCGCCGGACAGCAGCAGCAGCAACAAGCTGCCCGTCTCGCTGCAACCGGTAGCAGCAACAATCCGGATATGTCGGCGGCCATTAACAAGGCACTCCGTCAAATCGACCTCATCCACTCCGGCCAGGACCGACTGCTGATGCTCTGGCAGCATAAGAAGGTCAAGCTGGATCAGTGTTTTCAGTGGCGCCTCTTCGAGCAGGATTGCGAAAAGATGTTCGATTGGATACTGCACAATCGAGATGTATTCCAAATGAGCTACGTCGAAATCGGACACAATTATTCCGGCGCCAAATCCCTACAGGATGAGCATCAAAAATTCGCCGTTGCCTCAATGAATGTGAATGTGAATATTGATCGAATTTTGGCTGTGGCTGCTCGCCTCATCGAGAGTCAACATTATGCGGCCCAGCATATAAAGACACTGGCACAACGACTCGATCGCACCTGGAAGGATTTCGGTGCGGGGCTAGATGAGCGGACGGCAGTGCTCCAGTTGAGTGTACTCTTCCATCACAAAGCCGAACAATATTGCAACAGTGTCGCCAGTTGGGCAGCCGCCTGTCAAGCATCGCAACCGCTGCCCTCCGACATCCAGAGCCTGGAGACGGCAATAAGGACACATCAATCGCTGTACGAGGCGATGTGTCAGGCGTACACCGAGGTGCATTCGACGAGCAAAAAGCTGCTCTATCAGCTGGATCATCTGGTACAGGTGTGCAATCAGTCGCCGCCACCCGGTGTGCCCGATTATCGCAAGAACAATAGCAACAACAGTAACAGTAGCAGTGGCAGTAATAGTAATAGTAATAGTAACTATAACAAATATGAGAGACAAAATCCGGCTGCGGATTATAGCGAGGGCGCCAGTCATGTCCTTGTCGTCATACACCAAATATTGGGCCATCATCGCAAACTGGAGGCCAAATGGCATCAGGAGAAGATACGGCTGCATCAGACGCTCGCCTTGCGTCTCTTCCAGGAGGATGTTAAGCAGGTCCTCGATTGGCTTAAGAATCATGGTGAAGTCTTTCTCCGCAAAAACACTGGCATTGGACGGAATCTGCAAAAGGCGCGTGTCTATCAAAAATCGCACGAACATTTCGAGAATGTTGCCCAAAATACGTATAGCAATGCCGAGAAATTGCTCTCGGCGGCGGAGGAGCTGGCACGCAGCGGTGAAGCCGATCCCAATGAGATCTATTCGGTGGCACGCGAACTGGAGCTGCAGGTGGCAAGTTTTGCGGAGCGAGTGGAGCAGCGTCGTCGCCGCCTGGAGATGGCTGTTATATTTTATACCCATGAAAAGGAGGTGAGTGCCTGGATTGAATCTCTGCGCACGGATGTGAGCACGGATGAGACGCGACTCTCGCAGGAGAATCTCGAGGGAATCGAACGATTGCTGCAACAGTATCGCGATCAACAGGAGAGCACCGTCAACATGTGCATAGCGATTATAGCTCAGGGCGAGGCGTTGCTTCAGGAGATGCGCTCGCTGGAGTATGTGGACAATACGGGCTCGCTGGCCGCGCTCGAGGCAACGCTGGCCAAGCTGAACAAACAGAAGATCGAAGTGGAGGAGCTTTGGTCAGCGCGTAAATTTCGTGCCGATCTCATCCTGCGTTTGCGCTACTTTGAACGGGATGCCATGGAACTGTCCTCGCAGTTGGAGATCTGGTCGGAGGAGCTGCAGCATGCGGATCTCTCGCGTGACTACCAAAAAGCTGAGCAACTAATACGCATGCACAACGAGTCCGTGACGGACATACAGAATGCCACGTATGAGATACTGCAACAGGGTCAGGATCTGTTGCAGCTGTTCGAGAATGCCGGCTTCATCTCGATGGCGGATGCCACACATACGGCCCAAGCACGCATCGAATATTTGCTCGACTTTTTGCGGGAGCGCGAAATCGATCTGGAGGAACTGTCCGAGGCGAAGCGGGCCAAGTTGGAGCAGGCTGTGCAACTCTGTCAATTCCAGAACGATGCCAATCAGGTGATCTCGTGGATACGCAACGGCGAAGCGATGCTCGTCGCCACCTTTGTCACGCCCAACAGTGTCCAGGAGGCGGAACAGTTGCGCAAGGAACACGAACAGTTTCAGGTGAGCATTTCGGACTTTATTTTAGTTTACCATAATACAGTTGCGAAATGAAGTTATAACAACTTTACAGATGAGAAAACTAATAATTTTTTAACGTTGATTATTAAAACATCTTTTTAGTACAGTAGTCTTAGTCTTCATCGTTCAGTTTGTTTCCTCTTGCAATTGTTATTATTCGCAATTGTATATAGTATATAGAATAAAGAAATTATACAACACTAAACTCCAATCCGCTCCATAGATTGCCATTGAGAAGACGCACACGTCGGCTGTGCAGGTTAAATATCGTGCGGATGCCTTAATCAATGCCAATCACTACGACCCCAAATCGATACGTGAGATCAGCGATGATGTGACCAAGAAGTGGCAACAACTGGTAACGTATGCCGAGGAGCGTCACAAGCTGGTCACCGCATCCATCAACTTCTACAAGACGGCGGAGCAGGTGTGCTCGGTGCTCGATAGCCTGGAGCGTGAGTATCGGCGCGAGGACGATTGGTGCGGTGGCGGTGGCAGTAGTGACAAAGCACAAACCATTGTGCAACTAATCTCCAAGCATCAGGAACAGAAGGAGGCATTCCTCAAGGCGTGCTCCTTGGCGCGTCGCACTGCGGAGACATTCCTCAAGTATGCGAATCGTTCGCAACAGTATTACCAATACACCCAGGGCAATTGTGAAGAGCATGTGAAGACCAAACTGGATAAATTGCTCACCCAGGAGTATCAAGTGCTCGAGTTTTGGACGTTGCGCAAAAAGTCACTGGACCAATGCCAGCAATTTGTGCTGTTCGAGAGGAGCGCTAAACAGGCCATCGAATGGATACACAATACCGGCGAGGGTTATCTCTCCTCGCGCACGAATCTCGTCGGCATCTCGCGTGAGGAAACCGAATCGTTGCTCAAGGAGCACAATGAATTTCGCAGCACAGCGAAAGAGACAAGAGAACGGGTCAAGCTGCTCATCCAACTCGCCGATAGTCTGGTGGAGAAGGGGCATGCCCATGCCAGTTCCATCAAACAGTGGGTGGCCTCTGTCGATCAACGCTATAAGGATTTTAGCAATCGCATGGATAGCTACTGTGAGCAGCTGGAGAAATCGTTGGGCATGGCCAAGCAGCCCTTGCATCTGATGATGATGCAACCCGATGCGGATGCAAACAGTTCCAGCAGCACTCCCGGCGTCAGCAGCAGCAACAGCACCGATCGTCACTCAGATCCCACGCTGGAGGCCAAGCTAACGACCTCGGCCAGTTCGGCGGCCAGCAAAGAGATCAACGAGGAGAAACGTAAGTCGGCACGGCGAAAAGAGTTCATCATGGCCGAGCTGATGCAGACGGAACGGGCCTATGTCAATGATTTGGCCACGTGCATCAAATGTTTCCTCGAAGAGTTTCGCAGCGGTCGCAATGTGCCCTCTCCTCTGCTCGGCCAAGAGGACATCATCTTTGGTAATATACGGGAAATACATCATTTCCATCAGAAGATCTTCTTGCGCGAGCTGGAGAAATATGAAACAATGCCCGAGGATGTGGGTCATTGTTTTGTGACGTGGGCCGTCAAATTTGATATGTATGTGCATTATTGCAAGAACAAACCGACATCGAATAATCTACTAGTGCAGCATGCTGGCAATTATTTTGAGGAGCTGCAGCGACGCCTCGAAGTGGAGCATCCACTGCCCGCTTATCTCATCAAACCAGTGCAACGGATCACCAAATATCAATTGCTGCTCAAGGATCTGTTGTCGTGTTGCGAGGGCAGCCACGGTGAGATCAAAGAGGGTCTCGAAGTCATGCTCAATGTGCCGAAGAAGGCCAACGATGCAATGCATCTGTCGTTGCTCGAGAACTGTGATGTGTCCATCGATAAACTGGGCGAAGTTGTGCTCCAGGATGCCTTCCAGGCCTGGGACACCAAACAGATTATACGCAAGGGTCGCGAACGACGCGTTTTCCTCTTCGAATTGTATCTGCTGTTCGCGAAGGAGGTGAAGGAATCGAATGTGGTTAAATATCAGTTCAAGAGCAAACTGATGACCACAGACATGGGCATCACGGAGCACATCGAGGGCGATGAGACCAAGTTTGCCGTGTGGACGGGTCGTTCCCCGATGCTCTCCGATTGTCGCATTGTGCTCAAGGCGAACAGCCTGGAAACCAAACAGGTAATCAGTCCTAACTCTCTAATTACATTAATTTCTTGCTTAATCCCTGTGGAATCTTCTTGCAGATTTGGGTTAAGAAACTGCGTGAGGTCATGCAGGAAACCTGCTTCTCGGGCACCTCGTTGACCCTGCCAAAGTCGCCGGCGAAGAAATCGGGCTCCTCGCAGCGCTCATCGCGTGATCTGGATGAACCACTCACGGAGAATGATCACGATCGTTGCTCTCTGGCCAGCTTTGGCTCGGGCAATACCACAGACAGTGATAATAAGGTAAGTTTTTTATTTGTAATTAAAAATATAGCTCTAATAAGTTAGTTTGAAAGTTAATAGCTGGCGTTTCAGTTAGAGTTTGTCTTAACAGCTGCTATTTTAAAGTTAACAGTTACATTCGCTGCTTCGTGTTTACAGCTGCGCGGTCTGTTAACGTTGAAGTTACAAGTTGTTATATTATATCACTAAGCCGGTTGCAGTGCGATGTACTGTATATATTAGGTATAACATTTTTTAAAGGGGTTTAAATCTAAGTTCCGTTCTCGATTTTTAAATGAGCTAACCATTGCACCTTTCATCTTAGCAGTTTCGTCTGTTCTTAAATGCTGGTAAACAGTGCCAAATTTCTGTTAAACTTTTTGTAAGCATTATCATCAGCTGTTAGTGCTATGTAAATGTTGCTCCTCTTAACAACTTACATTTCTGCGGCTGGCCTTAACAGTTGCCCCTTCAAAGCTTATGCTGTGAAGCACTTGAAGCTTTTTTGTTTTTGAATAAAAGAAAAGCTTCTGTATTTTATGGTCCTACCTCACATAAAAAGCGCGTATGTCATTCGCATTTGCTTTCACTACGGCGCTCTTTCTCTTAACCACTCTCTCTCTGACTGTCAATGTTTTGAGCTTTATTGTTGAGGATGCTGCTACTCCTGCTGCTGAGATACTATTGGCTACCGTTGTTGCTGCTGGCGTTGTTGCCACTGAACTAGTTTTTGCGGTTCGGCTTGTCTGCAATATGTTTAAAATTCATAGCAGAACTTAATGAGATTTTCCTCGCGGCTGCACATACATGTATGTGAATGTGTGTGTGAGCCTTATAAATTGTATATCAGTGGATTTAGTGTTGCCTTAGATTTTTCTCAATGGCTGAGATTTATTTGCAGCTTATTAAGAGCTTAGATTTAAAATTAAAAAACAAAATAAGTATATTTATTAATTATGTTTTATAAATAAAAAAAAAGCAATATACTTTCCTAGCTGCTGTTCAGATCCTCTGCAGAACTGTTTTACTTTTTCTAAATTTGGCAATACTTTTATGTGCTCAAGGCACATGTGAGAGTGTGAGAGAGAGCTCAGCTGAAAAAAAAGCTTTTACGTTGAGTATACGCAACGCTGCCGCTAATTGGCAGATTGCCACTTGAACTCTCTTTGCGCGCTCTCTCGTTGCTCGCGCTCTCTCTTCGTTGTGAGCTTTTCTTTTTTGGCGGTTCACACACAAACACAGACTCGCTGTTTGTTGTTGTCGCAGCTTGCGCTGCGTTTGCTCCTTTGTTATTGTTGTTGTCGTCGTCGGCTTCGTTACGTAGAGCGGATGCGGCTGGCGTTTTGCTGCTCCAGTTGATTCGTAGAGTTAAAGCCAATAGGTTCATCGTCGTCGCAGTCGTCGCTCGTCGGTCGTCGCTCGTCGGTCGTCATAAACACTGTCCGCTGTCATCTTTTACTGTCTTTGCTGTCTCTTTTCCTTAAGCTTCGCAGGAGCAGCAGCAGCTGCCTGCCTGCCTGCAGATGCGCGCCGTCCGGTCAACGAAACGCCAGCCGTTGCAGTCGCAGTCGCCGTCGCAGTCGTGCCCATCATATACCGTTATTCGCTTAACTGCTAAACTCTGTCACTAGCATAAAAAAATCAGTGCTGTTCAAAAAATTCCCTCTCTCTCCACCGAATTTCCCTTTTAAACCGTGTGTGTTTTGTGCGATTTTTGGCTCTCAAATTTTCAAGCGCAAATCAACAACAATAAAAGTCATAATTAATTCTAAATTGGGAAGCCAAATTGATTTTTAATCAGCTGATAAGCGTTAAAGATAAAAACTATTCCAGCGTATACACAACAAAAGTAAAGTATTAAAATAAATGCAATAAATTTGCCAGCTGTTTTTAATCAGAAATTCAGCCATAAAACATTAAATTGTTCAATGCTAAAATAACAAAAAAAAAAGAATGAAATAAAGTAAAATTTTATAAATCAAAAATCGAAGACAAGGCGCGAATTTAAGCGAAAATAAATAAAGTATATAAATAGCTAAATGTGTGCAGCAATGTCAACAGTCAGCGCATAAGGCTATATATATATATAGCTTATATATATATATATATATATATGTATATGATAAATAGCTGCTGCCTCGCAACTAAAAGCAAAGCTCATTTTTGCGCTAAAACCTTTATGCCAAAAAAAACCCTCACAAAAAAACAACCCATAAAAATAACACATACAAAACACAAAAAAAAAATGGAAATCTGCTGCTTATAAAAATGTCTGCAGCTTAAACCCTGCGGCAGACACCAACCCCCCTGCCGTCCACACCACTGACACCCCTACGCACCCCTCTTACTCCCACAATTTGTGCTGCCTTTGACCTTTTTCACGCCTTTAGCTACTTGAGTAGCACTTTTATTCCACCTCCCCTCCACCCTCTTTCTATCTCTATCTCTTATCTATCTCTATCTCTAGCTGTTGTCTTCTTTTTGGGTTACCCACAGAGAGCGGGTGCGGGGGAGTGCGAGTGGGAGGCAAATAGACCACAGACTGGCGACACTTTTTTTTTGGTTTTTGGTAGTACTCAAAAAATGCCATCAGCGACAAGTGGCGCTGTCAACTGCACTACGATCGTTGTGTGTGTATGTGCGTGTGTAGGTGTGTTTAGATGTGTGTGTGTGCTAGCAAAAGTACAACAATTCTATTAGCTAATAATCATCGTGTACGACATGGCTAAGTACACGGCTTTTGTGGCATTTGCCTGTTCCGCAGAAATATCTTTTTGATTTACAGCAGTGTTTTTTATTATTATTATTTATTTTAACTTATGCGAAATTTGATTTCGAGCGAAAGCGTCTTAAAAATTGTTGCTGCTTAAGACAAATGTGGATATAAATGTAGATTTATAACATCTTTAGAACTACTTCTAGGAATGCATAAAATTTGAGATAATGAATACATCTAGAAAAAATGTTATTGGAATGAATGAATGAATTTGAAATTTGACAGAAAATTGTATTTTTGTATTTAGGTTTAGTATTCAACTGGAGTCTGTGAAAATCTGTTGAGATTCTTATTAAAAGTCTTGCATTTGCAACACTCTTTGTAACATTTATGGGCATCTCATAGCCTTCATATATCCTCTCTTGCAACATGCTTGTGTATTCTATAGTTCTTACGTATACACCACACACGCTTGCAACATATCAGTGCATCTCATAGTCTTTATATATCGTTCCTCTTATGGGGTTAGCCATGTGCAACAATCTCTTGCAATATGACAGTGTATCTGCTAGTCATTACATATGCTCAACATGGCTGTGTATCCCATTGTCCACATAAATGCTCAATCTTTTCTGTGCCTGCAACACTCTGTTGCAGCATAGCCGAGCATGCTATAGCCATTGTGTATATGTCCTCGTTCTTATATATTATTATCTCATTATCTCTCATATAATCATTATCTTAATAAATTCTTCCGCCATTAAAAGTGATCCTTCTGCGAAAATCTCTTGCCACATTTCTGTTTATCCCATTGTCTCCATATAAATCCTCCATCTTATCTATTAATGGTTTTGTATGTGCAACACATAGAGCGTCCATAGTCTTCATATATCCGCTACACTCCCTTGCAATCTAGCTGTGCTTCGTCTTCATAAATTCTCTTTCTTATCAAATAATTGTTTTGCATTTTCAACACTATCTTGCCACAAAGCAGTGTATCTCATAGTCTACATATATTCTACCTCTTAATTGTGTGGCGTGCAGCATATCGTGTCTGGTTTTCTTCTTCTTGCTGTTGTCAATAGAATTAATAGCACGCTTAGCCTATTGCATTTTAAACACACACAATTCAAATTGTGTTTATCATTGTTGTTGCTTTTGCATTTGTGTTTGTCTGTTGTTGTTTGGCTTGTTGTTGCCACGACGCGACATGTCTTGGCCATTATTATTATTATTGTAGTTGTTGTGGTTTTTGTTGCTTTAGTTGTGGCTGCATTGCAATTTATTGTTGTTGTCTCCAATGGGTTCGGTTAATTTCTATTCAAAGGCATATTTCAAGTGATATACTATAGATGAATATTTTGAATGAATTTAAATGAAATAAAACTTAAACAAGGCAACAAAAATAGGTAAACTTATCTATAAGCAATACAAATGAAGATTTCCTTATTTTATTTTAATTAAAGAAGATTGGAGATATCTTTTAAACTTTCTTCAAAGAATTATTTGCTGCCTCATTGTTTATATTTAATTCTAAACTCTCTTATAAGAATCATTTGCTGTCTCATTGTTTATATTAGTAAAAGTATCTATTAAAAGGAGGTGGTAATCAATTTATAAGAAATCAGACTGTCAATTCGAAACCGCAGCATGACATTTACCAATTCATGTTGTGCTTATCATCTTTTCCCATAATGAAACTATTTGCTGTATCATTGCTATATAATTACTAATTAGTATCCATTAAAAAAAGATGGGATATGATTATTAAAGCTCAAACTTTCAAGGCGTGAACATAACCAGTACTAGAAACAAATATTACTATTTAATATCATACAGGAACCAATTAAGAACCTTTAATTCTGTAACTGAATAGAATATTGCTCAAATTGCAGTCGAAACTTTATAAAATGTTTTCAAATAGGAAGCCATATTATTAGTTCATATAGTATGGTACTATTAACCATTACGCAACCAAATACCGAACCGGATTTTGAACCAATTCAGAACCTTTAATGCGAAACCGAAGCTGAACCATGATTCGATTTGACAGCCAAGTTAAAACGCAAACGAAACTTTTTAAAATGCTTTAGGATTGATGCCTATTAAATCTGTCTTGTTTTTCTGCATTTCTTTTCTTTTTTTTTTTTGTCAAGTTCCGCTTGGACATTATAAACTTAATTTGAAATCGAGGCAACAACAGCTATGCTGCCTCCCTCTCCCCTACTTCCCCTTCTGCTCGTACTCCCCCTCAACCCCGCTGATGTGCGCATTCATTTGCACAAATTGAATTAAGTTGGCTTTG